GGATTTGTGAGGAGTCCTCAGAGTACAGCCTTATTGGCTGGCTTTGGCAAAGTTTGCACTGGGCAATCTTCCTCCTCCTTGGGCCCCTTTTATGCACCTCTGGCCCTTTTATCTGATGTAAGGAGGCTGGAGTAGATGAGACTCCTACATCCCTTATGTCAGCTTTGTGGCAGAGGTATTCTTGGGACTGTTGCTCCTCCTTTATTTTGCCAGTGCATTGTTAAAGGATATCGCATGACTGTGAGAATTGGGCCTAAGGTCAATGGGATGGGGCTGTGAATCTGGCAGTGAATAACTGACAAACTGGTTGACAGATTATACCTCACTACCTGACTTTGCAACAGTACTAAAGTCATCACCCTTTTCGCCTTTTACAGACAAAATCCTAAAATGTTTCTTTACATGAGTTTTCATATCTGGCTGGACTGTCTGATTACCTAGAGAGCATTGGATAAGAAAGCAGAAATACGATTACAGTGCAGTTGTCCCCTTTATAAATTACATCAGAAGTTGCAAGAGTGGAGGAATACAACTGTTAACCAATAACACTAGTATGTCTGACATTGCTCACCCTGAAATTACTCTCTTGTAATGGTTAACTTCCTTCCTTGCAATTCACAGCAGGGGGTGATTTTTCCTTCATAAAAGGAAAAGATAAAAAGCAAGAGAAAAATTCCTGTGTGTTTGGATCATCATGTGTGGTGAAATCAGTTTGTTCAATGTAATCATCATTTCCTAAATGCCTGGTATAAAAGAACAGAGCAGTTTTGAATCTTGCAACAGTCAATGAAAAAAACAAACCAATAAAAGAAATGAGAAGAAATGTGATACATTTTCTGTTAATCTTCTGTAAGGTTTTACAATTTCTACTAGACGTAGTTTGGAGAAGGTCCAGTGGAGGTCAAAGTTTTAGCTGACTTATAGACTGTCTTATTGTGCAGTGCTCTGGGTAGAGCAGCACATACAGTGTTAAAAATGTAATAGAAAATCATGCACTGCTAGTAAACACTATTTTCAAGGTAAAATGTTGCTGTTTGTCATCAAAATGTGTCCAAATATATCAAATAATTTGCATTCATTAAGTCCATGTGATATTTAAATGTTGTTTTCTTTTTAAATTTGAGTAATCAGAGCACGAAAAATTCTTCTTATAAAACACTTTCTGTTCTGAGTGGATAATGCAAAGACATCTATAAAGAATTTTAGCAAATTTTGTGCACACCAGAAATCACCTTTGATTAAAAACAAGAGAGAAAATTTCTTGAAAAAGGGTCATGTATTTATGAAGTGGCATAAATAATTTAGGATGAATGTGCCACACTGCTGCTGTTTTAATGTCTGATGTTAGATCCATGGAGGTCTATGGGAGTCTTTGTTATCTTTAATGTAAGTTGAATTTGGCTCTTAATATATATGTTATATACATCACTGTTTTGTGTTAAATTATATGAATTGTTTGTCAAAAATATTCAAAATTAACAGGCCTGATCTTGAAACTTGTTTACAAACCATCAATGATTCGTGTTTATTCATGAGTGTTTTCAATTCAATCCTGGTTTAGACGGATAAGCTAAATTGGGCAAGTCTCATGCTTTCTTCTGTGTTTCTGAGTGGCTGATATTATCCCAAGGCGGGTCTGTATCCAGATCAGCAACAGCCATTTCAATTCTTATGGGAGCCAACTGACATCTCGTAGTGGAATGGTTTTTTTCTGGTATTTAGGGCAACTGTGTGCTACTGCAGGAGTAGCTACAAAATTCTACACTTAGGAAACACAAGTTACCCAAGATGAATTCAATTTGCAGGAATTAGTTTACTCCTGCCTTACTTGATCATTGTAGGCGTGGACTTTATCTTTGTGTTATAACAGACCTTGCCCATCCAGGCACTAGAAAGACCAAAGAAGGTGCGCGCGTGCGCGCGCACACACACACACACACACACACACACACACACACACACACACACACAAAATATGTATAATTTAACCAGAAAGACTTATATAGGCATATGTATGTGATTATATATATTGTTCATTTAGGCAACAATCCAGTGCACACTATGATTTTTTAAATTGTGTATTCAGAGAACTTGATCACAGCCATACTGATATCTTGATTGTAGCCCAGTCAAGTTTTTGAATTAAAGTGAGGAGTAAGCATAAAAAGATACTAAGATCTAGCCTTCATGTGAATGTTCTTAATAACTGAAGACAAGGAAAGGAAAACACAGAAAATATATGTTTTATAAATACAGAATAGTTTTCAGTGTGACAGTTGCTTTATACATGGACTGTCCATGTCCTATAAAAAGAAACCATAAGATGCCAGCAACAAATGAAAAGACTAACACTGGCACCAAATAAATATTGCCCTAATTAAGAACTCACAGATTAGCTTCAGTTAAAAAAATGCTTGTTAGTCTTTCATATCCCAGGAATACTTCTCATTCCCCATAATTTGTTGTGGCTTGTTCTTGCTTTGGTGCTGTGTCAATGGAGTTTTTAGTGAATATGGTTTAAAGGAGACCAATAAAAGTCTATTTCATTCTTGAGATTGAGTAAACTAATCTCTATAAAAAAGGAGTCCATGAAGAGTTACCAGATTCAAAATGAAGGGGCTGTTTTTCAGATCTCTTGGTCCAGCAAAGTCTTTACCCACTATATAGATTTTTAAAAGAGATAGCCAGGTTTCCATGGTAAAGGGAATTTCCTCTGACCCTTTTAAAGTCTAATAATCATGCCTAGCAATTACATGGCACTTCATATCTTTGAATCAAAGTACAAACTATGAAGAGTTACCAGATTCAAAATGAAGGGGCTGTTTTTCAGATCTCTTGGTCCAGCAAAGTCTTTACCCACTATATAGATTTTTAAAAGAGATAGCCAGGTTTCCATGGTAAAGGGAATTTCCTCTGACCCTTTTAAAGTCTAATAATCATGCCTAGCAATTACATGGCACTTCATATCTTTGAATCAAAGTACAAACTCTAAGAGTTGTGTATATAGAAGTTGCAGGGTTGACCACTAACTAGTGAATTCTCCAATTATAATTATTTTAATTATTTATGGCACCTAGTGTTGGACCAGGAACCCAAAGCAGTGAAGATCTACTGAGGACAAAGACCTTCTTTTGAATTGAGACTTTCCAGCGGTATTTTATGTAACTGAGTGTCTCTTATTTTGAAGACATTGAAACAAAGGGATAGAACTAATGGACATGTCACAAGACAAAATAGGCATTTTAATACTGGAACAGACTCAAGAATAAGGAAAGGCCTTTCTTATCAGAGAAGGTAAAGAATAATAGCATCAGTGAGAAAATAGTGCTGCTTCCCTAGTTGGTGTATCCAGGCACCGTTCTAATGCACTCAACATCTTTGCTTCTAGAGACTGGAGATCAGCGATCCTAGCCCCATTAAGGTCAAGAGGGAGTTTTTCCATTTCCTTCACTGGAGGCAGGATTTTAGCCGAGACACAAGAGTAAGCAGACCCCCTCCCTCCGCTAGGGTAGGGGCAAAGGAGGCAATTGCCCTGGGCCTAGCAATTCTATAGGGGCATTGCCCTGCCCCCCCCCCCCAACATTGCCCAGGGGCCCAGCCATTTTGTTGGCTACCCTGAGAATAAGCGTTACATCTTACTGGAATATTTGAAGTTAAATTGTCCAGATAAGTTTAACACACATTAATAAGGAAAATGCACTCTGAGTCTTTTCTTGTGCAGTGTATCTTGGGTATTTTAATTATTATTCATGCTGGCAGAAGTACTTTCATTCTAATTAATTTCTGTAGAATGGACGGCTGTCAAAAAGAGAAATGGACATGTACACCTGGCCCTTGTGCAGATATGTGGGGAGGGTAAAAGGATCCTGCACTCCTCTCTTGTGCACCTAGTATGATGATCAGAGAGTTTGTGATTTAAATAGCAAGAAAATAATAATGAAGACCGTAAAAACAGTACTTGATCTGCTGCATTGCCACAGGGCTGCATTATCTGCCTACATCTCCACAACTGCTTCTTGTTGCTGTGTGCCATAGCATGAGAGGTCATTGGGAATTGTGGCATTGCATAGTGTGGTGTAAGAGATGTGGTTTTAAACTTCTCCCTGAAGGTTAGCCCTTAGAGTTCATCTCTTTACCCCTTTCTCTGCTTCAAATGCATACAAGCTCTTCTCTGATCTTCCCCCACTCTCTTTTGGGCTCTCACAAGCTTCCCTCTGTCCCTTCAGACTCATTCTGGCTTCCCCCCCAATCCTGGGAGGTGGGAAGGGGTCTGCACCTGTGTTTTTTTTCAGCAGTGGATCGGTGCTCTCGAGCTACCTGGGTTGCTAAGGAAACCGTGGCAAATATCAACATTCTTACCCCCCCCCACCCCCAGGAGAAGCTCCTTGTTCAACAGCAAGAATCAACTGCCGTGGCTTGTGCCTCGCCCTTCTCATCCCATCCTCCGGAGCCCCAGAGAGGAGCATGAGACACACTCAGCAGCAGGGTCCAGCGTGCAGCAGCGCGATGCGCCAGGTGGCTCAGAGCTGGGTGCTAGGTGGAGAGAGACAGGGAGACCTGCTCACACGCCGAGTGTGAGGGCGGGGAATGGGGGACCCCTGCGCTCCTAGGAGGTTCTGACTGTTTCCATGTTATTAAGTCGATACAGAGATGGGCGAATTAAATGCACCAAATAACTTACTCAATCTGCAATTTTTCTAAAAAATGTCCACCCTCCCCATTTCAAAGGGTCAGGCGAATAATTCTGAAATAGTCACAAATTGCCTGCCATTTTTTTCCCAAATAAAATACTTGTGACTAACTCCCTCTGGGCCCCGGCATTTCTCATTACTTGTCCAGCTCGATATGGTTGGTGTGTTTAAACTTAATCTGTAGTGTGTTGCAGTCTGGCAGCCTGCCTCGGTTGGCTGGCTTTCTTCCTTCCCCCCCCCCCCCCCCTCTTTTGAGGTGAGAAGGGGAGGGAAGAAGCAGGATAAAGTTTCCAGAGCAACAGAGTGAAACCACTTGTGAAAGAAGAGAGCTGCAAGTGCAAAGCTAAGCTGTAAAGATCCTGGCAGAACTATGGGTTTCTTACTATGCTCAGTCACTTTTCCTCCTCCTTTAGATCTGTATGTGTGTGTTTTTGATATGGTTTAGTATAATCTGTGTTAGCCACCCCAGGCTCCAGGGAGCAACGAGACTCGGTTGCCTAGCAAAGGTTGAGCTTTAAGGGCTGAACAGAATTGTACTGGAAACCTTAGGGAGGCTCTAATCCCTCCCTGGTTGCTTTAGAGAGGGATTTGCTTATTGGAGGTGGTCCTTGGGGCAGGTATCGTGTGCGTGTGTGTACACAGTTCATGCCTCACAGGTATTTGACAGTGTGTGTGAGAGAGGAACATTCTTGTTGAATAAATAGGTGCAGACGCTGCCTGGAAGGCAGCACTGACTGTCCAGCCACAGCAAGAGGAGGTGAACATGAGTTGCCCTAGCACAAAGCCGGCCTGGTTGTCACAGCCGATGGTGAAGAGTGTGTTGGTGTATCGCAATGGGGACCCATTCTTCCCGGGGCACCGGGTAATCATCCATGAGAAGAAAGTGTCCAACTTTGATGTCTTCCTGAAAGAGGTGACAGGTGGGGTGAAGGCGCCTTTTGGAGCTGTGCGCAGCATCTACACCCCGCGAGGTGGGCATCGTGTCCAGCAGCTGGAGGAGCTCCAGAGCGGAGAGCACTATGTGGCTGGTGGCAGAGAGGCCTTCAAGAAACTCAAGTGAGTGATGAATAAACAAGAAATAATTAGAAAACATAATGAAACATTCACATTTAAGCTATTATAATACTATTAATTATTATTATTATTATTATTTGTATTGTGGCAGCACCTTGGAGATGGACAAAGGTCCCGTTGTGCTAGGCACTGTACAAACACAGAATGGAAGGATGGCTGCTGTCACTAATGAGTTTAAAATCTAAGTAAATGTGAGAGAGGAAATTTCAACACAGCTTTGTGCTGTGGGAACTGTTGGGTAGGAGAAGGTTTCTTTTTTTAAAGCTTAACATAAAATTATCACGTTACTGTCTCTGCCTGGCACTTTACAAAAATGAATGAAACCGTCCCTAGCACCAAGAGAGACACTATCCTTGCAGCATAATGTTATTTTTTTTTAAACTGCATGCTAACAGCCTGCATTTAGGAGAGACATTTGGGGAAATAGCTCTGGAAGAGCAGAGTGTGTATGGTAAAGTTGGAATAGCCTTGCAGCAGATTAGGCCTTCCAAACAGTTTTGTTTCTAGCTTGGCTCTTTAAATGTTTAAAATATTCTGTTCAATTGAGGCAGGTACATGACTCGTTCTATAACCATAGTAGCTGGGTTTAGGATTAGTGGTTGTTCTGATTTCTTCTCACAGTGAGTTCCATGTTTTGGGGCCTTTTTAACAGAAGTGATGTGTAACTATTGATAGTATGTGTGGGGAGTACAATTCAAAGGTTCAGATGTGAACCCTGTCAGCACAGATTATATGAGAGGAGCGGGGCGGAAACACAAGCCATGTAGCCTTGGCCTCACAGTCGCTCGCTGTGCCTTTTTCAGTGCAATCCTTTCCTCACCTTTGACAGGTAGCTCAGGCAATCTGGGATGAGCAGAGATTCTGTGCCCCTCTGCTTTGCAGCTAGGAGCATGTGCTGGAGATTGCCCTACCACACCAGGCTGCTGCTACTATTTGTGTGGAAGCCTGGAGAAGGCAGGAGTTGCCTCTAGGCCAGGATGGCATTCACTGTGACTGGCTGGGCAGGGAAGGAGCCAGGCTGCACTGAACACCCTCACAGCTATCTCACTGGGGTGGGGTTTGTTGTCACTACTTCCTCCTCATTTCTGCCACATCCCAACCACTCCTGTAGATTCCTGAGGCCACAATGCATCCTTTAACCCCTGCCTGGCTGCACTGCAGCCAGGGGACAGGAGGCGGCTGGGTTATGTTGGTGGCCATTAGCAGCCTGGATATATTAGCTACCTTTTGGTGCTGTGTGGGTGGGAACTGACAGGAGCTGTGTCCAGCTACAGGGGAAAGGATTGGGAAAGGGATGAGCTCTGCAAAGACATGGGCCGGGGACAGCTCCTGGGCAAGTAGGATGAGCAGATAGCCACTGTGAAAAATTAGGACGGGGTTTATAGGAGCCTACATAAGACAAAACTCTAAATATTGGAACTGTCCCTATAAAATCAGGACATCTGGTCACCTTATGGGCCAGTCAAAGGGAATGAGGGCAGTAGCCCTCACTAGATGGTTCTGACATTGTGGTGTGAATTGTGGCAGAAATCCAGAGGTGAGGGGCACATGAATAATTGGGACTGGGAAAGAAATGGTGCTTTCTATCACTGAAGAAGTATATAGTTAAGGTTAAGTAGCTAGTTACCCTTTTTAGAACTTTAACTTCAAATCTCCAAACTCTGCTTAGATCCCATAAAGTAGTGCCATTACTTCTGAGGGAATTGTGCACCAAAAAAGTAAAAATTCTGCACAGTAATTAAATGTGGAGGCTCCAGCATGCCAGTGGGGAGCACATGCCACTGAACAGACAGAGATGGGAGATTGCCCTGCATTCCCCCAATTCCTAGGACACTGACTTGGTGGTGAAGCCGCACCCGACCCTGACACAGCGCAAGGGCCAGGCCTGGCATAGAAACATCCCAGTACTCTGCCCCTCCTTGCCAGGCACACCAGGTGTGAACAGGCAGGCTTGGATTCTGCTATCCAGGTGTGGAGGAGTTTAGTTTGCAGGGATCCAGATATGGTTTGGAAAGGTTCTGGGTGTTCACTCTGAGCGCAGGTGACTCAGTGAGTATGTGTGGGAGATCGGATTCATAAGGACTCGGGGGAAAGGTTCTGGTTGTGGGGGGAAATGGAGCTCTGCAAGTGGAGACCAAGTACTGAGGGAATGGGGCTTGGTGGGGTGGAAGTCCTAGGGGCTTGTTGGGCTGCTCCAGGTGCCCAAAATAATGCACCCATGCTGCTTGGGAGAGGCATGTGATCACTTTTGTATCCCTGTTAGAAGTAATTTTTCTGTAGGGAAGCAAAGAAGTCTGTGGGAGATATGAATTCTGCACATGTGCAGAATTCCCTCAGTAGTATGCCATCTTCAGATCTTCCTCTTCTGACAATATACATTGAAGGAAAATATGCACCCTCTTTTTAAAAATGGTGCAATAAATATAGTTTAGGATTTTCAAAAGTCCTCCACATTGGCCTAATCTTACTCCTCATGAAGTCATTTGAAATATTACAGCTATCTTCAATGAGAGCAGGACTAGGACATTGCTGAGAACTTTTGAAAAATCCCACTTTATTGTAAAGAACTGGAAAAGTTCCTAATTAAATAAAATAAGTTTTCTACCCATACCAGACCTTATGTTGTACTGCTTCCCAGCTTGTGCTGTTATTTACAATTGTATAGAGTGAGTGTACGCTATGTGTGTACATATGAACAGAGCCCAATCTTCGGTCTTGTCCTCATAGGGTATATCTACACTACAATGTTATTTCAAAATAGCTTATTTCGAAATAGTTATTTCAAAATAGCTTATTTCGAAATAACATGTCCACACACAAAATGCATTTTGAAATAGCATTTTGCTATTTTGAAATAGCACGTCCACAGTGAGTGGACTCTGAAAAACATTTAAGGCCGGCCGGAACCAGTTTTAGCAAGGCACCAGGTCAGGACTTACTGTGTGTGGCTGCTGCCTGAGGCTATTTGAGGTCTGTGCTTAAATGGACCCCCCCCCCCCGACAGCCAGTTCTCAGGTTTCCCTGCTTGCTTGTCTACCTCAATGAGGGACAGCAAAGTATTTTGTCTCTGCGTGCTCTGGTTGCCCTCACTTGGGACACCACAGCACTCAGCAACATGGACCCAGAGCTGCCCCTGGGCACTCTGGTGCTTCTCTTGGATGCGTTGCTGTGAGCCTGGCTGCACTTTCTGCATGCTTCCATCTGGGAGATCCATCGGGGGGCTATCCACGGGGCCCACGAGGCCCTATGGGAGAGCTTCCACCCTGATGAGCACTAAGAGCCTCCCTGGTATGCCCCACTGGAGGCTTGTGCCTCATTCCTCCCTCATGTCCTTCCACTTACCCCTCCCTAACCCTTCCTGATGTCAAATAAAATACATGTATTTTCATGAACACAAACTCTCTTTATTTAACAAAACTGGGGGGAGGGAGGTAAAACTCTGGTGAGACTGGGGAAAGGAGGTGGGAGAGGGGAGAAGAGAGGGTGGAAGAGGGAAGGGGGAAACCTGGAAGGAGGGAGTTGGAAGGGGGAAGGAAGGGGAAGAAGGGGGAGGGGAAGCTCAGGTCTCAGGGGTGGGGGTCTTGTCAGACCAATTTGATTGTCATGTGCATCTGCTCCTGGGTTCGCATGTGGCCTTTGGTGGCCAGGCTGGCAGCTATTCTGCCATAGATGGCCGCATTCCTCCATCTAGTGTGGAGATCATGGATGTTGGGGGCACCCCCCCAAACCTGAATAAGTTCCATGGTCTCCACCCTGAACCAGGAAGGCGCCCACCTTCTCCGGGCCCTGGCAGGCTCCTGGGAGCTGGCAGAATGCTTCTGGTGAGTGGTGGAGGGCTGGCTGCCAGTGGCTTGCTGGCTCATGTTTTGGGGCCACTGGGTCGGGGCAGTGACTGCTGGCTCTGGGCTGGCAGGCTTGGAGCTGGCACAGGCACTGTGGCCAAAGTCTACCAGGCTTGGAGCTGGCACAGGCACTGTGGCCAGAGTCTACCCCTTTAAGGGCTCCAGGGAGGGAGGGAAGGAGAGGAGTGTTCTTGGTCGAGGCTGGAGTGGCCACCAGGGCACTCTGGGAAGGCTGGAAGCCCCCTATTTCAAATTAAGTGTCTACACAGCACTTATTTCGAAATAGCTATTTTGAATTTGGCGTTATTCCTCGTGGAATGAGGTTTATCAAATTCAAAATAAGCGCTCCGCTATTTCAAATTTATTTCGAGATAGCAGTTTGGCTGTATAGACACTAGGAAGGTTATTTTGAAATAAGGGCTGTTATTTCAAAATAACTTTGCTGTGTAGACATACCCTATAGAGACTAATAGCGAGTGGCAAACAGGTGTGTAAAGCTATAGTGCTGTAGCCTATTGCAGGCTAATTAGCTGTGTGGACCTAGCTACCACACACTATAAGTTCTGTAGTATGGTGGCAGGGGTCATGCAGTGATGTAGTACTTGGCTTATTAGTGCACAGAATCCACAGTGCACTAATTTTGCCATCTGCACAAGCCTTCAGTGATTTGTTCTTAGCTCTTGACATTTTCTTGTGAGATTCCTATTCCTTATGTATCCTTAGGGTCAAAACTGTCACAGTTTATTTTTAGTAAAAAGGACAGGTTACAGGTAATAAATAAACATTCACAGAGCCCAGCAATGTTCCCTTTAATCTTTTCATAGAATCAGAAGATGCCATTCCTCTCCTTACTGAGCCCTGATCCTGGTTATTTTTAGTAAAGTCATGGACAGGTCCTGGGCTCCACTGTTGCCTTTAAGTTGTGTCTCTAAGGAGAAATTCAAATGCTGCCCAGATGATTAGCAGAGCACCCATAGCTAGGTTTTTTGTTTCTACTGGTGGTGCACATTCAAACATGCCTCAGTGCACATAAAAATTGTTCTGCACATGAATGGAAAAAATCCACACATGGGTGGTCCTGATTTGGGCAGGGGGCTGGACTCGATGACCTCCTGAGGTCTCTTTCAGCCCTAGGACTCT